GCATGTATATATAAAAAAAAAGTTTCACAAATATACAGAATAAAAGACAAAAAGGGTTAATAATGACTTTATATACAAAATGCATCAAAATCCTTGGCCAGATGATACATAAAGATTAAATAAAAAAAGTTATACACTGCTGAAAGATACTTAACTGACCCTTTGAAGTTATCATATAACTGTAACCTCCCTTTCTTCTTGGACATTAAAAATGTTAAAAATGAAGAAAAAAAGAAAAAAAAAAGAGAAAAAAAGAAAGAAAAAAAGAATACTAGCCTAGTCCTTAACGTAAAACTAGACAAGAACTAATTCCCTGGACCTAGCATTGGAATGTCTTTCGTTTTATTACCTAACTCTGATGACCTTACAGACGATGCAATTCAATAAAATTAAGAAAACATAAAGCCTTGTATCACTTTGTATCACCACAGTTGTTTAATAATCTCCATAGAAAGAATTTCTACCTTGTGATTTTCCAAAACTTAATGTTCTTCTAAAATGTTGTTTTATACTCTTTAGAACTGATATAATATGAAAATAAGGACTAGATTTACTAAACGGTTGATTATCCTAAAGATATTCACATCAATGCATTACAAAATGAAGATAAGACCTACATGAATCATCAGCTGCTAATCTATCAAGAGTGACTGACCAGCTTCCCCATTCTCTCTTACAGGTGGGTCGCTGGGAGTAAATACTGCACTCCCAGAAGGGGTAAGTTCAATGCTATCCTCTTCTTCATGCTGATTTGCCAGCTGGTATCCTGCTGGCACGCCTAGGGTTCGACTTCGCCTGGCAGTGTAAATCACACACATTGATAACAACAAACAGAAGAGAGATACAAAACTGACTGTTACAAGGATAAATGGATATACATGTGAATTGCCCACAACCTTTGTAAGGAGTGAGTGTGTAAGGGAATTTCCGAATGAAGCCAATATGATCATGAGAGCACACATACGGTGAGTCACTCTCATGTACTGCGCCATCCAAAGGAGGCTTGTGGGTAAGATAGGAGCCAGCCCAAGGGCCATGAAAATAATGCCAGACCAGAGAAAATCATCCTTCCCATATGAACCAATGGCCAAGAAGACCGAGCCCATTGCTGCAAACAGAATAGATATTGTCAAGAGCTTTCCTGGTTTCAGTCTCAAACATCCAGAAACTAATATGCAGAGAAATCTTACCAGACACACTAGGCCCCAGAAGAGAGCCTGACCATCTATGCCAGTATTCTGAATAACATCGAGTCCTGTGCCAGTATCTGTTGTAGCTAAAAGGTGATGCACTGCCCCTTGCAATGCTTCAGCCATAAACATGAACACTGAAAATATGACCATGAAGATAAGGACTCTACTTTTGTTGATTTCACCCATGCTTCCATCATCCTGCTTCGATCTTGGTTCCCGTGGATTGTGGCAAAGGATGACAACTGATATTAATGCATTGAGAATAATAAAAATCCCAATACATATGTAGGCTAAGTGGACTTTGGTCACTCCATAATCTTTAAAACGCTTTGCCATATCATCCAAAAACTTATTATTTTCATCACTTCCAATGCTATAGGTACCAGGCTTCTGGGAATGCATAACTGATGATATCCCACTCTTATTTTGTTCATCCTCATAGGACTCCTCGCTGATTGGTTCATCACCTAAGGCCTCCTGTAGGCCCTGAGCCTCTGGTTCCTCTTCAGAATCGTCATCCATATTTTCACCATCCACATTCTCTGGAACTTCAATGTCTTCTTCCAAATCTTCCCTTAAATGGTCTTCATGATCTTCTTGCTCTGCTACTTCCTTGGAGTAAGGTACAAGAGGTAAACTGGGATCCTCTGTTGTCTCTGGCATATAGGTTGTAACAACTGTGGTTGCTGGAGTTGTGGTGGTGGTCGATGTGGTTGTAGTAGTAGCAGCAGTAGTAGTACTAGTAGTAGTAGTAGTAGTAGTAGTAGGAGAAGTGGTTGTGGAAGTGGCAGCAGTGGTAGTTGTAGGAATGATCTCAACAGTTGTAGGTTTAGGTGTGCTTGTGGTACTAGGGAGGACAGTTGGCAATTTAACAGAAGAATCTTCTGTTTCAACTGTAGTCTCATTCACCACAGGTTGGTTTTCAGTCTGCACAGCTTCCTCAACTTGCTCTGGAACCATTGTGATGTGCACCTCTGATGAAGTGGCATCATTATCACCAGAACCCTCTGTTGACTGTTCAGCTTCAACAGATGCTGCAGTTGGAACGGAAATTTCCAGAGTTTGATTTTTGGACGGCTCTTGTTGAGGTTTAGGTGGGTTTACTTTTGTTTTCCCTTGGTCTCTGGAGGGTGGTCGCTTCCATTTTGTATCACTATCAGGATGCAAAGCATTGCCATCAGTAAAATTGGGTTTCTTCATTGGGGGTTTTGTAGATGCAGCTTTTGCACTAGTTGTTGTCTCTGGCAATGTATAATCTGGTTCCACAGTCACTGATGTATCATTTTCATTCTCTAATGATGTCAAGAGATGATCAGATGTGCTATTAACTACTAATATGGTGTCTTCAGTTGTGACCTTAGGTAGTGTTAAAAGTTTAATCTTTTCATTAGTAAGATTCCCCAAAGGCTGTTCTTCACTATAGCTAGCATTATATACATCATCCTGCAAACTTCGGACAAACCTTGGCATGTGTGGAGCCTCTGTCATAGCTGTGGTCTCCATTAGAGACTGATTGCTTTGGATCTCAAAAGGGTGCAACCCAACAAAGAATGGATGAATTGCAAGTGGTGCGATAAAAGCTCCAACTGCAAAACTGAAGTGTAGAGCTTGCAGGGAGGCACCACCGGCACGGCCCCACAAGTCTAGACAAAGGACATTTCCACCTGCGGAAGGGAAGCGAAGATCAAATTAATGTTGGAACCCTAACTGACAACTGGCTGACCAAAGCATTGCATGGGTGGGAAAAAAAAGAAAAATTGGAAAAAATAAATAAATACATAGAAGTGGGTAAAAGTGAGGAAAGTGGAAAGAGAACATGACAAAAAATTACTAAGATATCATGAATATGAAATGACATAAATTATGCTTTAATCTAAATCTGTAAAGCTTCAAGATACATGATAAAAAGTTGTCAGAAGGTCGTATTTGTATCATAACAAAACTTGTTAACACAATGCAACAGCCCCCTCCCTTCAGATAAAACAAAAAACAAAATAGGAAATAGAAAATCAATTTCATTTCCTTTAAACAAGACCTGCTAAAAATAAATTCTCACAATTCAAGAAGAAATAAATAACTGTGATCAATGTATAAATGCCAAATGTATTGTACCAGTACACTAGTGATTAACGTAGGAATGTAGGGAGTGCTGTGTAAACAAATTAGTGATTATGCTGTAAGTATTTGCTTACTGGTATCATACTGCATGGTGATTAATCTAAGATGCTTGAAAAAAAGATTGCCAAGTATGTATCACTTATCAAAAAAAAAGTAAATACAAAGGGATGGGCAGTAATATGAATCTTTAAAAACTGGCAAAGATAAACCTATAAACAGTCCATTAGCTATACAAAGCATCCTAGAATTCCTGGCAAGCTCACCTGTGAACAAAAAGCCCAGTCCCATTCCCAAGGCAGCGGTTGTTGCAAATGTCCACCAGAGGGCTGTTGCGACGGTGAAGGGCATGACTGTGACGCAAACGGCTACCCATACCAAGCTGACAAACATCAGGAACTGGCGATTGTATACTTCAAACAGCAATGAACCTGTTGGGATATTTGTCAAGGTTATCAAGGGAAGGAGCAAATGCATGAAAGGCTATATCATGAACAACTAGAAATCCAAATAAAACTCACAGACAATCTTGAAAGAAGTAGCAAAATCTGTTTCAGAGTTATTTATCAACTTAATCATTTACTAAAATCAAGGAACAAACTTTGCAAGTAAACAATGTAATTTTACACTTTTCACAAGATAAGTGTGCAAGCAACACCTATCAACAAATAAATACATAACTGGATTAAAAACATATAACAGATAAAGGTGCCTACTTCCACGTAACAAACAAACTCTCTCTCTCACACACGCACACACACACCCACACACGCACGCACGCACGCACACACACATGCACACGCAAACGCACATGCACACACACGCACATACATGCATGCACACACACACACGCACATGCACATACATGCACACACACACACACACACACACACACACACACACACACACACACACACACACACACACACACACACACACACACACACACACACACACACACACACACACACACACACACACACACACACACACACACACACACACACACACACACACACACTTTTTCCAAGTTATATATCACTCACCTAGGATTCCTCCAAAGAGCGTGCCAACAGAACGTGCTGTGAAGGTATGGAATGCTGTTTCTACTGATATGCCCACTCCTATTTCCAATTTTATCAGAGGACCTCCACTTACGGATACACATAGTCCCTGACAATGAAAGTGATTATAAGAATAATACTTAGATTCCCTGTTGCATAAACAAGTAAAATAAAGCAAACACACATTATTATTATTTTCTAGCTTTAAATACTTGTCACATCAGCATAAAAAAGGAAAATATCTTTACATTTTCTTTATATCAACCAAATGTCTAATCTCTTAAACTTTAAGATAGAATTTCCTCTAAGGAAGACAAATTACTTTGAAAAATATGAAAAGAAACTCCACTTACCAAACCAATAAAGGCTATACAAAGGAAAACGGTCCTTATGAACAGCATGAAAGTAGGTAAGAACCCCACGGTGGATTGCTGTCTTGACCGTGGCATCTTCCCACCGAGGAGACCCGCTTGGTCGAAGACAATGTCCTCTTCGAAAGGATCATTATCTTCTGTGTGATCTGCCATAGAGATCCAGCGCTTAAACTGACGATAAATTGTGAAAGGGCCAGAGACTGCTGCTGTTAAGGTGGAATTCTACCTGAAATTGATGTTTGTCTTTGAAAGTGTTGTGGGCAAAAAAAGCATAGAGGTTTACATGGCTAGTCAAAATGTAAAACAATGAAACTGGTGGCTTTTAGGATAATGCTTCTCATACCACATTTCATATTGGGCTGAGTGATCCTCAATGTATATCAGTGTACTCTAGGGGAGTTTATTAACAAAGTTTGCCAGAGTGGGTGTTCTATTAGCTTGAAAACATGTTTGTTCTATTTTTTTTTTTTTTTATGCGACTCTTTTGCATCATGAAAAAGGCACTGACTCTCAAATACCAAAAGGGCACACAATGGAATTGGAGAAGTCTATATATATATATATATATATATATATATATATATATATATATATATATATATATATATATATATATATTACCATTATCTTTTTTTACTTTCTCTGTGTGTGTGTGTAAGTGACTGTGTGTGTGTGTGTGTGTGTGTGTGTGTGTGTGTGTGTGTGTGTGTGTGTGTGTGTGTGTGTGTGTGTGTGTGTGTGTGTGTGTGTGTGTGTGTGTGGGTGGGTGTGTGGGTGTGTGGGTGTGTGTGCCGGTGTGTGGGTGTGTGTGCGTGTGCGTGTGCGTGTGCGTGTGCGTGTGCGTGTGCGTGTGCATGTGCGTGTGTGTGTGTGGATACATTAAAAAAAGAAAAAAGAAAAAAAAAAAAAATATATATATATAGTAAAAGTATACAGAATGTGGAAATGATATATCAATGAATTCTATGACTCACTTTAGTCCATGACAAAGATATCAGAAATATAAGGTAAAAAAAAAAACCCTGTTCAGTCCTTTTGTAAATAACAGCTTTATAATATATAAACCTAGAGACAAATTCAGTCACAAGATTACCATGAATTTCTATCCTTCTTTGACCTTTATGCAAAGGCCACCAAACTCTTTTACATATATGCATCAGTAACTTGTAGCTAGGAGTGGTTCTTTATATGACAATAAATTACCATAAAGACATACACACTATACACACAGCAGTCCCAATTACAGTGTTATATTGTTTTACCGTCTTAAAAATCACTTAACTTTTTAAAGAGTCAACTAGACACAATTTTAGAGATAAAAAAAATCTTAGTATTTACTGATCTCCTGATTCATATTATTGTATAGCTTGTCCTATGTACTGAAACTGCAACCATAACATATGGTTTCATCTTAAGATCTATCTATTACCTACTGATCTAAATATGCCAAGGTCTCACATCCAATATCAATATTCAAGGGCCTGAGGTTCAGCCAAGAAGTAAGCGCTTGAACTTTGCAAAATATAAGGTTGAAATCTGAGAAACTATACACAATTGTTAAAGATAACACATCAATCCTCACCCAGATCATGTGAAAATCTATCCTCAAAAAATGTAAATATATTTCATTAATTTTCGCAGACACATCATGACCTTGTTGGCTAGCCTTGACAGGGAGGAAGCTAAGCATCATGATATGAAAGTTATTTCTTTTCTTATTTACAAGATGAGTCTTTTAATACACAGACTACACATAATATTCTTGGAAAACTGAGAAGAAAAACATATAAACATTTTGGAATTACTTTGCGGAACATGTACCCAAAACTGTTCCTTTTAAAGAAACTAGGTCATTACCATCCAAGGTTGCATACTTAATGAGGAGGAGAAATAGCCTTTCTTTAACATTCCTATCTTTCCTTTTTGTATGAAATATTACTAAATATTGTCAGAACTCATAAGCTCACAATGCCTTCTTTATATCGCTGTGATTTATTCATATCATCTTCATGTGGTGTGAAGTTGTAAGGTATCATTTACTTTTTATGTTTAGACAATAAATAGTATCAATCTTATATATATATTTTTTTCATATTCTTAAGCATAAATCAGCAGCAAATATGTCAACAGTTCACAAGACTATTTGAGCAAATTTCATCTCTAATTACAAGTTAATGACATAGTGAAATAGAATATAATTCTTTAACTCTCTTGTTTTCTTGCTATTTTGGAACAGCTAATATTACAAAACTTATGAATCAAATACGAATTTGATGATACAAATTCATAAAGAACATTCGAACAGAAACTAGTGCCAGCATTTTCAGTGGAAAATATAAAATAATTACAGGGATAAACAGGACGTAAAAATAAACCAAATGTAATAGTAAACCAGTGCTATTTCCTTATCCTTGCCGAGAGGTATAAAGTAATTATTCACCAAATTATTCACCAATACCACAGATGCAAATATCACGATACTCTTTATCTCCATGAATAAAAAAAAACCCTTCGAATTAACGGAACAGATAATGATAACGAACGATACTGATTATCGGTTGAACACCGTTTATTATTAGCTCGTTAATTCACTCCCAATCATTATAATAATCCCCTTTCCTGACACCACATTCACTTAAAAGACGACCGGGAGAGAAGAAAACTAACTTGGAGACATAGAGAAGGTGATAAGACGTCGTAGAAATTCCTAAGATGACAACTAAGCCTTTCTTCTGTCACTGATAAGCGTCGTCT